GCCTAAGCAGGTGTTTAGTCTGCTGAGGTATCACTCCAGACCAATTTTGAAAGAAAGATTAAGAATTTAATATCAGATATATTAGAAAAGCATACATACTTGAAATTTAAGTAGAGAATCTAAGAAGGCATGGATCTCAAGGCTAAGAAAATTTGGAAGAGACTAGAAATAGGTGTTTAACCCCAGGCCAGTTAGATACCCTGGGGAGGGAATGTAACTTGAAAAGAGAAGATGAAGATTGAGGTTTGGAGTCCTCCGAAGTTCACAGGTCAAAGTTGTGCTAAGGAATTCCTAAGTGGCCAGGGGAGTAGAACAACAATCAGGAGAGTATGCTGTTTAGTAAGGCAGTGAAGCAACAGGCATGCCGGCAGACCTGTAATTCCAGCACTCAGGAGACTGAGGCAGGAGGATCATTGTGCATTCGAGACCAGCCTGGGCTACAAAGTGCGTTCAAACCCAGGCTGAACTGCATAGCAAGACAATATCAAAAGGGAAAAAAAAGGCAGAAAAGAAAGGGTATAGAGGAAAAGGGAGTGATCCATTGACTCAGATTCTATAATGAGTCAAGTGAGATGAGAACTGATTTTTCTGATAGCATTTGGGTGGGGGGGGAGAGGATCTATTTGGTCCAAATGGACAGAGCTATAGATCATTTGAAGACAATAACTACAGACAATTCAGAGTTTTATCATAAAGGAAAGGAAAACAGTAGGATTAGAAGGGGGTGGAGGGAGTTTGTACTAAAGCTGTGAGAAATAACAGTGGTTTATGTGCTGTTAGGAATGAGGTACTATAAAGGGGAAAGCCGAAGTGGTAAAAATAGTGTCATTGAGGTAGAAAAAGAGAAAAACTGGAGTAACATTCCTGACAGAGCTGGATCTAGAGAGCTTGGCTTTGGGGACTAGGGGTAACTCAGGAACAGGATAAGATGACAAATATGTGGGCAGATGCAGAGAACATCAGGCCTGACGGAATTCTTGCTGGCTTCAGCTCTCAGAATATAAAATTGGAACATGGAAGTGGGAGTTTGAGGCTATCAGAGAAGGACACAAAAGTGCAACAGCTACCTAGGAGAGTGGGAGAGGGAAGGTCAGTCTTCTGATCTCTGGGCAGCTGTGAGAATCCACTTGAAGTTAATGAGCCTTTATTTGCTCTAACACCAGTCACTATGAGTTTTCTCAATTTTATGCTCACCTGCCTCGCTGCCTCAGTGCAGAATTTGAGTGACAGGAAAATTGAACCTCACCAAGGTTGTGACTTTCCACAGAACACATCTAATACAAGAGAGACAGAGACTCCAAGGTTCCACCCAAGGAACTAATTAGGATTATTGATCACTGAGTTTAAACTGAAAAGGGAAGAGATGTCATGAAGAAGGTAAGCTTAGAACTGAGAAAGGTGGATGAGATCAGTAGAGCTCTCCTTGTCTCAGAGCCCCAAAGCGTCTCAAGATAAACCTTGGAGTGTGTATGGTCCCATTCACTGCACTTACTGGTCTTCCAGCTTTTCAATGTGTGTCTTGTAATTCCAAGAAATTTTTTTTTAATTCTAAGAAATTTTATTAAATTACTTTATATTGCTTGTCTTCCTATTTTCTTGATTCTCTCTTTTTGAGGACTCATTTTTTATCTTATGTTGAGCCTCCAAATAGATCTGCTGTCTTTCTTTCTGGCTCCAGTCTCATTTCATGAATGCAGGGTCATCCCCCCTCACAGTACTCTGGAAATATTATCCTTAACTGTTTAAGAATTTTTCCCCTGCATGGCCTGTTTTTGCAAAGTCCTTTTCCAGTATAATGGAATTCTATGTATCCATCCCCAAGTCTTAACTGTTAATCAATGTTTTTCAAATTTGTTTCATGTACTAAGCCAACTTTTGCAAGTACATTTTTAATACATGCCTTGAAATTGAATTTTAATGATAATATTTTGACATACATCTTCTCTAAATTTTGAAAATGGATTTAAAAAATTGATTTAGGGAGCTGTCTCTCCATTGGGCCCACATATCCTTTTAATCCATCATGCTTTCTCACCCTTATTTTTGTGTGTTTGCAGCTTCATTTCATGCTTTATTATTTTAATAGCACTCATCAACATCCAAAACTTTCCCTACTTTTCTTCTTTGGCAAACTCCCAACCCTCAATAAACCAAGAAATCTCTTCTGTCTTTACTTACTTCCTTTTTCCCCTTTTCTCTGCCAAATCAACTCTTCTGTATCACTCAGGTCTCACCTCAGCCACCACTTCCGCAGGAAGACTTCTCTATATGGCTCAAGTAAGCATGTGCTTTTGGCACAACTGTTTCCTGTGTGTGGGTCTTTGATCCATACCTATCTTGCATAGGAGCCTGCTGAATTCCCAGCCTCTGAATAGTTCCTGACACATACTGTTACAGAAAACAGACTAAACTCAAGAAGAAACAGCACCAAGAAGGTGTAGTTCATTTACACCAGTGGGTCTGACTGGGATCTCTCCCAAAAAGTCAAAGCTCCACCTGGCTGGGTGCTGGGACTTTTATAGGGATGGTAAGTGGGAGGCACACAGGTAGATGTGGTGCATTTGATTGGAGGGTTAGGAGACATCATGGGTTGCTAAGGGAGTTTAAACATCTCAAATTACGTTGCAAGGCCATCAGTTAAACAAGCATGAGTTACACAAAGGAAGAAGTGTCCCATTATATTTGAAGCTGCATTGCAAGGCCATCTGTTACACAAAGGCAGTAAAGACAGTGGTTATATGAAGAAAGACGTGTTCTATTAGCCGGCCTGCTGGGCATGCCAAATTGGTCTTGGTGGGCATACTGGACAGACTTTTATAATTTCCCCCTTCAGTACAACTACTATGTGCTCAATACATGCTAGTTGAAGGAATCAAGGGATAGCATATGTATGTATTTTTTTCTATGAATACAGTACAGATAGTTTAAAATTTAAGCAAAATTGTGTTATTTTCTAACCACACCAAATGGGTGTCAGAGAGAATACAATTAAACAGACTGTGTAAACCTTCCTAAGAGAGTTTTCATGAGAATATTAGATTTCTGCAATTTTAACCTATGTTTTCACCCATAAAGCAAGGTGAATTCAATATTTTTTTAAAGATGTTTATTTCAAACTCAGGAATTTTTCAATACCTAAACACTAGTTTATTTAATAATGTAGTCTGAAATATTCAAATAGTTCTTATTTGTATTCTTGCTGTTTTGTTAAGCTAATGATATCATCCTTTCACATTTCATTTGATGGCTGATTTAAAAATTTTTTAAAATCATTTATTTGTTTGTTTGTTTGGTACAGGGTCTCACTACGCAGCTCAGCCTCATAGTGATCCTTCTGTCTCAGCTTCCCCAGTGCTGCCAACATGCCCAGTTTCGGGGGTCAGCACAGTGTGCCCAGGGTTCTGGCATGCAGCACTGGGGATGGAACCCTGGTCCCTGCACTTGCCAGGCAGGCGCTTAAAACTCTGAGCTATCTCCCCAGCCCAGATGGCTGATTTGTTTTTAAAGGTCAAGGAAAAATAAATTTCATATAAGTACAAAGATGACTATCGCATCATTTAGGTAAATTGTAAAAATACAATAATAGCTCTATTAGGCAGGATTTTTTTTGTAAGAAAAGGTAAGTAATTGCAATTAATACACTTCAAAGAGGAATTCATGGCTGGGTATGGCGGTACATACCTGTAATCCCAGTGGTGTGGGGGGCTGAGCCTGGATGACACAGGTGGGAGGCCATCTTGGGCAACTGAGGAAGATGCTGTCTCAAAATAAAATATAAAAGGGCTTGCAGTGTCATTCAGTGATAGAACATCCCCAGTACCAAGAAAAAGGGGGAAATGGTTTTATTGAAAAAAAAATCAGATAAGCCATGTATTTTCCAGGATACCAAACATGAGAAACAAGCCAGAGGAAGTCAGATGGGCAGCAGGGAACAATGTGGTCAAAACCAGACCCTGGAATGCAGTGCGCTCCTGTAATCCCCATGCTGAGGAGGTTGAGGTAGGAAGGCTATTCAAATTTGGGGCCAGCCTGGGCTACAAAGTGAGCTCAAGACCAGCCTGAACTGCATAGTGAGACCCTGCCTTAGGAAAAAAAAAAAAAAAAAAAAAAAAAAAGATCCTGGGATCAAGGCGGCTGCTGGGCTCTGCCTAGAAGCTGAGGTGGCTGTAGATCCAATGCCACCACCAGAATGTGCCTTCTATGCTCACAACTTCCACAGGTCACAAATCCCAAGTAGATGTGTCTCACCAAAACTCCAGCTTTTGCTCCACCCCAGCTGCAAGGAGCCTCGCAGGTGAAGGTTTAGCCTCTCGGGAGCTTGGAGGATGAGGCGGGAGCTTTTCTCCTTATCACGGTTTAGATGGATGTTTTTACTAATACAGAATGAATTCAGACTGTACATAGCATAGCCTCCTCACACCCATCCCAAACCAAGTAACAATAGGGTGAAGTGTTGAAGGAAGTACAAAATTATAATGCAGCTATGCAAAGAAATATTAAGTAATCATTAAAAGAGTTTTGATGGGGCTGGACAAATAGCTCAGCAGATTAAAGCGTCTGAAAGCAGGCTCAGGGGCTGGCTTCCCATCCTACACCTGCTGTGCTGGCCCCGCCTCTGGGGTGCGCTGAGACTGCAATTGAGACTGGGCGTGGTGGCACGCACCTGTAATTCCAGCTCTTGGGAGGCTGTAAACAGGTGGATCACTATAAATCTGATCTAGGAGTGAGACCCTGAACACCCTGTAGACCCGTCTCTAAAATACAAAAAAAAAAAAAAAAAAAACACACAATTTTAAAGAGTTTTGATCAATGTTTCACAACATAGACTGTATTATTTGCTTAAAATGGTATATACAACTTGACACTGATTACTTTTACATATTATATCCATTCTTTTACATATATTCTATCCATTCATCTGAAATGGATCTATGGGTTGCTTCCACCTTTGGCTACTGTGAATAATGTTGCTTTGAACATTGTGCAAATATCTGTTTTACTCCCTGAGGAGTAGAGAATTCTTTCTGGTATAGACTCAGAATTGAAATTGCTGGATCATATGGTAATTTTACTTTTAATTTTTAGAAACTACCATATGGTGTTGCACAGCAGCATAATTTTATATGCCTACCAGTAAGTGCACAAGGGCTTAGACTTCTGAACAACCCCACCCACACTGTTTTTTTCCTTTTTTTTATTTGGTTGCTTTTGTCTTTGTTTACAAATAATAGTCATCTCAATGGATGCAAAGCACTATCTCATTGTGGTTTTGATTGTATTTGCATAGTGATTAATGGCCTTGGCTACTCAGATTTCTTTTTTTGGAAAATTTCCACTCAAGTTCTTTGCCTGTTTTACAATCAAGTTGTTTGGTTCTTTTATTGTTGAATTTTTCCTGTCACTCTTGATGTTTTCTTCTTCCCAATTCATCTTCTAATGACTTTGAAAGCATTGGAAAATAAATGTAAAAGAGTGAAAAGTAGTATTCCACTTTCCTGAGTACAATTAGTACATCTGGTTTTACATAAGTAAGGCAGTTTCAAAGTGTCTCAACAGATGGTACACAGGAAATGAGCTTTGTTGATAGGGTTACAACAAATTCCATTAAATTAAAAATTCCACTTAGCAGATGTCTTCAACAGTTGGTGTCCTCTCCGAAGCTAATCTATAGAAGAGACGTTTTCTTTTAGTATTTGTCATTTGTAGTATGTTTGGACCTGGAAACCTGAGATTTTCTGCAAAATCTTACCTTGCTGTGTTGCTGGGAGCTTGTCTCAGGAGAGCCAAGGGGTAGGAAGATGGCGAAGTAGGGCAGCTTCAGCTGACAAAAGCCTCAAGAGCGGGCAGATCAGTTATAAGTAAGAAATGTTTTGCAAAGTGGACATGTGTATGTGAGTTTCCCTTATAAAAATGAGCAATGTACCCTAAGGCTATTTTGCTCTTGATTACAAAATATATTAATTTTAATGAAAGTGAAGTATCATAAATATTTTTTAATCTTACCAACTTCACTAAAATAGAACTCAACTTACAGTTGTTAGAGTTATCGCTGTCAGACTTTCTAATAATCAGGAGCTCTCAGAACAAGTGAAGAATACAAACAAATCTATGAGTTTGGGAAATTCAATTCTATTGTGTGAAAATATTATTTAATGTGATATTGTGCTTGTATATCAAAGTATTTCATTCCATAAGGCCTTTCCAAGTGCTTTAGCAACCAGAATATTTCATTTTTACAATTAGGGAACATTCTTTTTGGAAAGGCTAATGAGAAAAGACAACAAGGAATTAGAAATAGTACAAAGGAATGCAAATAAAACCATCCAGTCTTCATCGCATACTGGATATTTATTACTGTAAGGATCATCATCATTTTAAGCTCTTCATATGTCTAAAGCAAATTCAACATCCCCAACCTGCTGGAAGCTCCAAATATTTACCTCTTTTCTCTGCTCCTAATTGCAGCCACCTAATTCTAGTCCCTACTTAACAACCATGCAGATGATGTTCTTAATTACAAAAGTCTAGCAAAATTTAGTTTCTTAAATCTTGCTTTCATTTTTACTCTTTCTATACAAATGAAATTCTTTAATCGCCTACCAAGCCTACTATATTTTGATAGTTGCTGGGTTCTCACCCTGTCTTTGTTCTTCCCTCTTCTACAGGACAGCTCTGCTCCACAGGTGACTTTATCCACTTTTCTTGCTGCCTTTTACCATGTCTGGCTACTGTGTCCAAATTCTAGCCGTGGAAGTCCTGATCCACTTCCTGCTCTGAATTCCTGTGGTGCTCAGAATGTGAGTTTCTCAGTTTACTTTTGGGTTGCATACTGTTTCCGTAACTGTATACCTGTGTGGCATTTTGTCAACTTCAATATAACCTCCTGGAAGGTAGTTTGAACGTTTCACATCCCATTCATTTCACCTGGGGATCCACCACTTCTCAGCACACTAACTGCTGAGTCCTTAGCTGCTGCAGTAGCTAAGGGGTGGGTTTGTTGGTCGTCTGTGTCTGTTCTCCTACTTCTGTGCTACAAGCCAGTGAGTGATCTTTCAAAAATGCAAGTTTCATGCTGACACTCCCTTGTGTAAACCGTTCAGTGGTCCTTTGAGTTCCCTAGGCCACAGGATTTCAACTCACAACTTTCTCCCTCTTCCTGTGTAACCCAGACCCAATGGTTGTCTTTGTATTTTTTCCCATCAGTTTCCTAGGATAGAAGAGATTTGTATTTGTGTACACTGATGCAAGTGTTTAATGTCCATTTCCCTAACTGGAGTTTAAGGCTCATGTGAGTAGTGTAAAGTCTTTTTAAAATTTCATTATCATTTAGGACTTAATATATGCTTAATGAATGTTTGTCATATAAATCAGTGCTTTTTCTTTTTTATGTATTTGGTACAGGGTCTCACTATGCAGCTTGGACTTATAGTGATCCTCCTGTTTTCAGCCTTCTCAGTGGTGGGACTACAGGTGTGCAACACCACACCCGGTCTTGGTGGCCTGCTTGGAGCACCTGGGGCAGGGCTGGCATGGCATGTGGTGTGGGGATTGAACCCAGGTCCCTGTGCTTGCCAAGCAAGCACTTGGACCATTAATTTATCTTGCTGGCCCAACAAGTACATTTTTTATATTGAGGTTGTCTCCCCAAACCTAAAGCTACCTTTCACAACTCCACAAAGACTGTTCCCTAACCCCAGGGCTATGTGAAAATTCAAAACCTTTGACCTACTTATAGTGATAAATGGTTTTCACAAATTATACAATAAAAATGTTTGTAGTTTCAGATAGTACAAGGAAAAGATTTTTTCTTCTATTGATTTCATTCACAAAATATAAGACAAATAGTTACTTAGGAAAAGGCCAAATAAACCCCCATACTGCAGAATTTAAGACGGGCCACATTATTTCATGGCAAGCTGGATTTAACTGATTGATCATTCCAGACTATAAATTCATTGGAAATTATAAATGGATCCATAATGGCCCTATCCCAGACAGACATTATCTGCTATGCAGTTATATAAAAAACTACATTTGCAAAATATATTAATTTCTGGAGCCATAGTGTGCCACTCAGTGTTTAATAATCAAATGTTCAGGGACAAAAACTCAGAAACTTCAATCTATAAGTTATGCTGATTTCTGGGATAACTGTCCCACTGTGGTCAACTGCACATCCCAAGGCAGCTTCTGAAGGCCAGACTTGATAGCAGTGCTAATAGTTGTCTTCTGTGAGTCAGTAGGACCCGGATGTAGCACACTCTTTGCTGCAGTGCTTTGCAGGCATCATGAAGAGGTTGGCAACAATGACTGGCTTTTGGGCTGCTATCCTATATTAATTAGGTCTCTTCAGCTTGGAAAATTCTCCAGAGATGGGTAAAATACATCTAATTATATTAAAATGATAAGTTGAGCACAAGTTTTCCTCTTTTCTAGAGTAATAAAATTAAAAGGTGCTACTTTCAAAAGGTAGGTTAAAACAAATGCAATGAAGTACTGCACTCAACCTTAGATCAGAATGGGCAGA